TATTTAATTGGATGCACCAAAAAACAATCGCACTTAATTCTAACTACCACGAAAGGAAAATAAGAGAGTCACTTGAGATTAATTATGCCCAAACAAATTACGAAATAAGACACTTTCCACCGCTTTTGAACAAAGACAACGGAGTTAAAATTGCGTCAATTAGCTAGCGACTTCTTTTTAAAAAAATCATAGAAATTTCAAAATAGTTTTTCACGTTATGTCAGCTCATCTTTGTAATGTTTTTTAGACGGTTTTTTACATACGTTTTTTGTGAGATTCTTATTGTATTTTATTTTACGTCTGATGACGGTCTGAGCTAATCAGACTGAAATATTACATAAAATAAATTAAATATTAGTACTTAGCTGTATTTTATGTAATATATATTAAATTAAAAAAAAATATTAAAAAGATGAATTGACGTCAAGTTCAACTATTTAGATTTTAAACAATTTTTCATTTGACGTTTTGTAGCAGACGCGGAAAAGGTTCTTTTGAGGTTGAAAACGCAACTTCAAAATATCAAAACGTGAAAAATTATTCAGCATCAGTCTTTTTTTTTGGATTTCCCAAGCAGTTTTAACGTTCCCATCTTGATTTCTAAATCAGCCTTTAGTGGGGGGAGGAAAGTTGGTTTTTGTAACGATTTTTTTTTAATGGAATAAGATTTTTGTTGCGAAACAAATTTTTTTTTAGATTACTGTAACTGGGGTTGCTTTGTTTACATTCTAGAGCGCGTGTGTGAACGACAGACAACTTATTTGAGTTAAAGCAAAGTGAATAAAATCTCGCTAAAGTGGAACCAGCGCGTTAAAATGTCTCAAGTTTTGTTAACCAGTATTAAAAAATACCTTGCTAATTTTTAAAAGTAAAATAAATTAACAGGGTATACTTCTATCAATCCAGCTAAATTGTAGAAAAAACCGAGAGTTCGTATCAAATTTTACATAATTTAGCATTTAAAGCTGTTGTTTTTAAAATTATTAGTAGGTAAATTCAGTGGCGTAGGAAGGTCGTGAAAGTTGGGGGGGCTGAAAACATATGTTAAAAAGGAAAAAGTTTCTCAATTTTGTATGGTACAGCAAAATAGATAAAAATGATCTATTTATTAAATTATTTATCACACGCAATGTTATTACTCTTGGCGCTCCTATTGATTTATATATTTTACCTTCAACAAATATTTAATAGCTTTTGATAATTAAGACAGTTTTACATTAATAATGTAAAAAACTAAGCACAACATAATTAAATATTACAATAGTATAATTATAAAGTAATACATTAAATATAACATAATTTATTAAGTTCGTAATACGTGAAACAAACTCTATGGTTTTCCAAAATATCGTTGACGCTCATCATTTGCCAGCACAAATTCTTTATAAATATTGTTAATGTCAACTTCTTCCAAAATATCTTTATGAATATGACTCAGAATGGTGCTGTTTAAACTTTTTTGATTCATAGTAGAACGGAGATATGTTTTTAGCCTTCTTAGACTGGAAAATGATCTTTCTGATGTTGCTGTACTGACCGGTATAGTAAGAAAGACTCTTAGAACTTTAGACACTTCATCAAACATTTTAAATGCACCATTTTCGGCAAATATTTTAACTAATGTTGAGATGGTTGTTATCTTAGTAATTGGCTTTACTTTGTTGCTTTTGCTCTTTTTGATTAATTCAAGTAGCATGCGAAGTTGCCATGTTAACCTTGTCCAGTCGATACAGGGTACATTTTTGACAGTGATGGATTTATCTCGATAGTTTCTGAATCTAAGTTTGCCAAGTTCAATAAAAGCGTTTCCATATTAATGGCGTTTTTTACAGATGACTGCTTGAAACCTCAAGTCAAGTTCACCAATCAAGAGGTCAACGACTTCATAAAACTTTTATCTAAAATAATCAGAAACATCTGTAAAAATATGAGGTCCCGAGCCAGAATCTAACCACCATGGTTGTTTTCGAGTCCGTGGAATTGACGACTCACTTACTTGCAAATCATCAGCTTCAGATTTTACTTCTTTGTAGAACTGATTAAACGATGTATCTCTTAATCTTTGCAAATACTGTTTGGTGACTGTGACACACTTCATAGCTTCAGTTAAGGACAATGCTTTCGTTTGCAACGTACCTGAAGCCTGCTCTGTTGCATTAAAAAAAAGAAAACACATTTTCATGCTAAAATATATTTCAAATTTTTGAAGCTGTTGCAATATTTCCCTCACTTTGGACCCAGAGTCATCTGATACCAATTCTCCAATTTCTGCCATTGCATTTATAACAGACTTGTAATTCGTTTTTTCTAACAATGCTTCAAAGGCACTAGAATGAACAGCCCAGCGAGTAGAACACAATGGCTTCAGGTTCTTAATGAGACCTCTATCATTGTTATCAAACGACATCTGGTGCCTGATTTTATCAAAGAGAGTAAATTTCTTTGGTGAATTCTTTATCATGTTAGCAATTTCAGATACAAGTGAAAGACTGTCCCGGACCAAAGTGCATTGCCTGGTACAGTCTTGCAAACACAAGTTTAAACAATGTGCAAAGCAATTGAAAGAAATTGCTGCGTTGCTTTCTTCTTTCAATTGAGCCGCTAGGCCACGTAAATGTCCTGTCATATTTGCTGCTCCATCATAAGCTTGACCACGGCAGTTTTCTAGACTTAATGAAAATCGGTGTAGAACATCATTAACTGTTTTTGTTAAAGAGTTGGCATCTAATTGCTCTAGTTTATATAGACCAAAGAAGTCCTCGTGCACATCATAATTTTCATCAACCCAACGTATACAAATTGATAGCTACTCTTTGTTTGAAATGTCCCTGGATTCATCCCCTATAATGGCGAAGTATTTCAAATTCTGGATATGTGAAAACAACTTTAAAATCACCACTCGGCCAATAAAGTTCTATACACTCATTTACTATTATTGGAGACAAGTAGTTTTTGCTCTGGAGCCAATTTTGTAGCCCTTTTACATTTTGAGATCTCAGTAACATCAATTGTTTAAGGTTGCCCTCTGTTTCTGTATGACCACGTATTGCAAGACCTTGACACAGAAGAAACTTTAAGAACGATAGTTCTACTAAAAATATTTGTTGTCTTTTACTCTGGCTTTGTCTAATTTGTTTTAAAAGTTGACTTGTTACCTTTTGATTTATAAGCTGGTACTTTTCTAAGGCTTTCCTATGGGAATCACTTGGTTTCTTCCAATTGACGACTCCTGTTGCTACAAAGGCAGGTTCCTTTCTTTTACTTAAGTCAAGTTTGTTGATACTTTCAATAAATCGACAATAGAAGCAAAATACTTTATACCTTGTTACGCAGAGTATTAGCCACGACCATTTAGTGTACCATGACTTTTGAAACATTATAAACTCTTTTTTGTTTCCAGTTTGTTTTTGTTGTCATTTTGAGTATACATTCATCGTCTGGTTGGTAGGCCTGGGCCATATTTGAATTGCAACATAGGGCATTACAGTATGATGTAGAGGTTACTGAATCTGACTGTGAGGCTTGTGCACCAGTTTGGTAATGATATCTTGCTGGCTTATTTCACTTTCTTGATTAGTACAGATTTCTGCATTTTTCTGACTTTGACTGGAGGATGTCTCCGTCTGTGGGGTATTAGCATATTTTGATTCCTGTCTGTAAGTAAAAAAAAAAGTTACACAGTAAATTTTAAGGCTAAATATTAGATGTTGTTTTTGATTTTTTTTTTAATGGATTTTTTAACTACAGTAGAGTTTGTGTAACGGAAATAGATGTACTCACGTTAGGCTAACACTTACTGCGGTAAGTTTCGGTTGGTAAAAATCCTTGATTCGCCTACGCTTCAAAGTCATTGGTAATCGGATTGATAAGATAATATAAATACTGTAATTTAATAATTTATATTTGAATTAAATAATTTTTCATTTAGTCAAGCTGAAACAATGTAGTTACAAAATAACAATTTTAAAAGTTGTATGAACATAAAAAAACTAGATAAAAACGTTATCAATAAACTACAATTTTTTTTTTTAACTTTACGTTCTTTTGTATTTTAAAATTGTATTACGTTCTTTCGCATTTCGAACGTTCTACTGCATTGATTTAAATATCAAGATTAAACTTTAAGCATATTCTTTATAAGCACAATTTTACTTCTGTTTTTAAAATTTAGTCTAGTCTGTTTTTAAAATTTTAAAGGGTTATTTAAAGTAACATGTATGTTTTACTATAACTACCTTTTATACAACATGTTTTTCAGCGCAATGACTTCATGAAAAACTGTAGTCATCTTTTGCCAGCACACATTCATTTAGAAAACAGTTAGTATGCGATAGTATCTTAAACAGTTTATGGATATACTTTTCCATGGAGATGTTTAATTGTGATTGAGTCATTGCAGACTGGAAAATGATAATTCCGCTGTTGATATCATAAAAAAAATTTATTAAACTGTTTAGGAAATGGGGGAGCTAAATGAAGAGTCCACCCCCCTCCAGTGTTTTAGTAGTGGGTGCTATCGCCCCCTCCGCCCCCTGTTCCTACGCCACTGGGTAAATTTATGAAATAGAGAACTGTAATAAAACAGGTAATAAAACTGCATATGAAAATGAGATTACTTTACTTCTAAAGTTTAGGCTAAGCCAATTACTGCTCAGTATGAGCCATTACATATTAACGAAAATTAAAGATAAAGTTACAGAAAAATCAAGTTTTACTCAAATTGTTTACGAAATTTCATCAAAATCAACTTAATACTATTGAAAATTTGTCTAAAACTTTAAGGTAAAATACTTCTTGGAAAATTCACTGGGCTGGACTGTATCTGCTTATAAAATACTGAATCTGTTTATAAAATGAGATATGGCTATAATTATTATATCTGAACATGGCCCCTCACTAGGGAAGGGGTAAATGGTACTTTAGCACTGGGGCCCGACGGATATCAATACACACAATATATATGCATGTACAATAGCTTAACATTTGATTTAATGGATTGGTAAACATAGTTTGAGTTATCTTTCAGATTACTCGTTTAAATTAATTTAACTTTGTTATAAAAACTAATTTACAATCAAAAATAATTAATTCTGAAACTACTTGCGTTCTGACATTTACACAGTTTGAAAACTACTTAAAGTTATTTGGAAAATATTACGGTTCTAAAATTACTTTTGTTCGTTAAAAGTTGTATTTATTTTTCAGGATTTAAATGCTTTAAAGAAAGATTTACCAGTTGGTCAAAAGAAAGATATACTAGTTGGTCAAGTTAACATGTCAAGCTTATATACATAAGTCTGTTGCTCAAAAGAGAAAAGCTTTAAAATAAAATATGATGTTATTATAAATAAAAAATGTTTTGATAAATAAAATTTTAATTGTTTTAAATAATAATCCCATTATCTACCAAAGACAAAAAAAAAAATTATTTGTTTGCATAACCATTAAGGAGGGAGCCTGCAGAAAGCTTCAGCATAGGGCCCCGTTTCAGAATATGGGAGTCAAATATCTAAAAGCATCAAAAGATTTTTCCACCAACCCCGACAAACATCGTAGCTTATTGTAACTACATCGTACCCAAATCTAAGATAATATCAAACAAATTTTTATTTTTTTTTGCTAAAAAAAATACAAAAAATATTTTCTTTTGAAATAAAAATATAAACAAAAAACTTTATTATAAAGAGATTACTGCTAAAAAATGTTCATTGTAAAAGAATATTTTCTTTTTGAAATTATTATAAATATTTTAATTTAGTAGTGGTCTTACTAATACGTTTGCTTTTAAAAAGAGAGAATAAAGTACATTACACATGGCGTCGCATGAGAATTATAAGGTTTTTATTTGACTTGGTTTATGCTGTAAGAATTTAACTCATTCATTTTTAATATCTTTTGCTGCCGTTATTTTTTATAAATATTTACTATACTTCGTTTATGTTAGTTTTTTATGATTAAACTTAAAATATTATTTTTATAATTTGTTGTTTATTTTTACTATTTACTGTCAATTAAAAGTTTAATGTCTTAATTTTTATAACATAAAAAAGACCGGTCTCATGCGACGATTAGTAAACTTCATTTTCTTTGTTTGACGAAGCTAAACTGATGTCGCGTCTTAACTTAATATAGAACTTTAAAACATCTTTATGCGCACGAACGCAATTACGCGTCATGTCAAGAACTCGTAAACTTTGAAGGCTTTTTGCACGCGATAGTGCGACATAGGCCTGGCCATTTTCAAAAACACGATCAAGCGAAACTTCACAACAATCCAGAGTTAAACCCTAAAAAAATAATTATAAAAATAAGTAACATAATAAATTGTAAAAAAAAAAAAAAAGAAAAAAAGAAAAAAATAATTGAGTTTTATACCTGACTTTTGTGAATTGAAATCGCCCAAGCTAGCTGTAATGGGAGTTGCACTCGAGAAACAGTTTCAACAAGGGTTTTGCAAACAAATTTTTCTCGCTTAATTACTAACTCAATACCTTTAGCAAACCGAACCATAGGTAAACCTTGAAAACAATTTGTATTTTAAAATTATTTTTATTTTAACTATTTGCTAAATATAAACTTAACTACTTTCTAAATATAAACTTAACTATTTTCTAAATATAAATATAAGATCATTCACATTCAAAAAATAATGGGGGAGTCACTACTAGGGAGTAATAATAGGAGGGGGGGGGATATATACAACCGTTCTCTACCAACCGTTTAAGCGTAAAACATATCTTGACATGAAAGACTGCTTCACGAAGTAATAAGCATTCGAAACATTTGTGATAAAAAAAAAAAAAAATTTAACGTGGTTAACACATCAAAATATGTTTCAAGACGCAGCTAATTTTGAATTTAATTTAGAAAAATTTTCGTCAAAATTATATTTTTTAGAATAGCTGTTCTGTTCAAGATGGGCTAGTTACTTAGCTATGAGTAAGTTAGGTTAGTTACTTAACAATGAGCATGTTGGGCTAAAAAAAATTTAAAAAATAGAAGTAAAAAAAAAAGAAGCTGCAAGAAGATAATATTAAAGCAGTACCATCTTTATCTGATGAAAACTTGACAACTACACCACGTGCACCGTTAACAAGCCCTCTGCTTACATCAAGATTTTTTGTCAACATCACCTGTTAAATAAAAAAATCATTGACATAAAATAAAATAGAAATAAAAAAAAATATATAAAAAACTTTTACATAGAGTAAAATAGTGTTTAATTGAACGGCGTGTTAAGTTAAACAGGAGCAGTTAAATCCTGATATGCAGATGACAAAAGTAATAATTCAAAACAATGTTTTGAAAACACACCACGCATATCTTTCGAAATGGATAATTTACGGATATTTACAAAAACTGAAAATCAAAAAATGAAAACTCTTGTAGATATGGCAATTGTAAAAGTACTTTTACACGTCGATCTGATTTAAAAAGACACACGATCAAGTTCCATGGAGTCAGCAATGTTAGTCACAGTGGAAATTGTTTATGTATTCAATACGGACATCGGTTTCATAAAATCAACAAGAACACTTCAATCAAAGTCATAATTCAGTTACTCAATTTTGATAATAAAGCAAGTAAGTCTGCCAATTGTGGCTTAAAAGATAAATTAAAAAATGTCTAATGTTATATTAAATATATAGCATTACTTTGTTTGTATTTTTATTTAGAAGGTTTTGATAGCTGGATTTTCAGTTAGAAGAAAAGGAAAGTTCTTATGTAAAAACCCAAAGCGATGTTATTGGAAAAGATGGTTCCAAAACAAAGTATTGGCAATGCAATCGATATGGTATATATAAATCAAGAAGAACTGGCAAAGCGCAGAATTAAGTCTTCAGGTAACATAGTTTTTTAGTTTGTTTTGTGACAAAGTTTTGAGTCTTTGTTAATGTATTAAGTATGCTATAGCATGAAATGGTAACATTTAGAAAATGAAGTTTTATTAGTTTTATATATTTATATATTCGTTGATGTGTTAAATACAATCAGCTTTAAAATTATGGTCAATAAAACTTTATTTTAGATTTTTTATTGTGAAAGGGCTTATGCAAATCAATCAAATTAAAAGTCACTCACATATCCATTATCTGTATGCTTAAAATTTATTATAATTTAGGCACATGCAAGATTAAGAAAAACTGCACATCAACCATCAAAGAAGTTATAAATAGTGATGAAAAAGTAAAAGTCGAAACCTGTTATACTCATTACGGGCATAGCCATGACTTTCATCACACACGGATAATTAAACGTCAACGCCAAGTAATCGCTTCTAAATTACAACAAGGAGTATCACGAAAAAAAATTCTAGATGATATAAGCTAATTTGTTTCATGTTTTAAAGTTCACAAAAAAATTGAATCATGTTGTATATTAAGAGATTTACCACTAATTATTGTGTTTTATGAAAATATCTATGCAAGAAAACACCTCTAAAAAAAACAGATAAATGGCTTTTTGTTGTTGTAATACTGTAGAATTTATGTTTAACATGGAAAAATTTTTTATAAAGACATATTATATACCATTGGAAAGATAATTTTATCAGCTTTTTAATGGTGTATCTTTTCACTTTTTTAAAGTTGAGCGAAAAAAGATGAAAAGGTGAATAGTGGATTTTTAAAAACAACGATTGCAACTCCGGTATTTACCTAGGGAAGAGGGAAAAATATTTATTTTATATATATTTATAATTTATATTACATTTTATACCTAATTTTTAAAATTTGAAAAAAAATTTTTCCAAGAAAATGCCTTTTTTCCTCTTCAATGTCTTTTTCTGGAAATTAATATTACAGTTAGTGCATGTTACGTCATGGCACTTCTTACAAGAGGATGTACAATTTAATCCAGCTTTTCGACAAGTACATTTATTTCCACATGGACCTTTGCAGCCACATCTAATAATGTTCAAAATATCTTGAGGACCTGCTTCTATATCTGTCATAATTGGCGCATGCATTTGATTTTATATTACCAGCCCCCCCACCTAATGGATCTAAATCAACGTCACTCAAATTTTTCCATACTTTAATTTGGTGATAAACCTTGAGTCCATGGTAATATGCAGCTCTTGGTGGTGGTAATAGAGCAGGATCAATACTTGCACGATCAGATGCCACCATTTCATTATATTTATGTTTCCTGATCTGCTGTAGATTGAAACAAGGTGAATGAAGCAGCTCAAAAAAACGATTAGCTCCCTTGCCAATATCATCAGTAGAAATATTTTCTTTATAGAATAAATCTGCAGTAGATTTCAATTCATTTGAATTTTTCAACTTAATAAAAATTGTGGTTTTGCCAAAGTTATGGATATCTTACCAGATCACTTTTGGTGGATACTATCTTTAGTGGACGACTAATAACCATCAAAAATGATTGTGTCAAGTTGTAAATGTTGAGAAAAATTAATGTATTTCTAAAAAATGTCACTAAATAACTCTTTTTTTTTCCAATTGCAGCACTACAATAGTGGGCCCCTATCAGCAATCTTGATTGTACATGTTCTTTTACTGGTGATATATTATTGAGTATGAATGTTTTCAATGTTGACTTTAATGCTGATCTCATGAAACCTCCTTTAAATAAGGATGTTGGATATGGTGATAACTCATATTGAAAGTAACTTTCCACTTCATTCTCTGGCTTTCTTTCAACAACAACAACCATTCTTAGAAAAAGTGTTAATGGGTTGATTGTAACAATTTCATCTTGAATAGATACGCAGGAGTATAAGCTCTGGAGTGTTGTTATTTAACTTTTTAGTTTAAAAGAGTAATTTGTGTAAGTTTTACCATTCAAGTCTTTGTATATTGATGCTCCTATCTGTTTGATTGATCACAGGTAATTTTTTCCTAAAACTAACAAGTTGATCTCCAACCATGGATGGGTTATGAGCAAAAAACCATGATTGTATTTTTTCAGTCCTCATTACCAGGTTTAATTCTTCCAGGAGATATTTCCTTATGTTTGTCAACAGATTTATGCGGAGATATTAGAGCGCTCATCGCATCACTTACTTCTGCGCATCGATGCAATGTTTTTGTCCACACCCTCAACACATTTTCAGTCAAGCCTTTACCAATAACTCCACCTCTACCTTTTAGTGACTTCATCAGTGTCTGTTCAATTGCTAGATCAGTCCATATCCCTGACCATTTTTTTACCAGTCTTTTTAACATTGTGATTACTTGTCATGTATTGTGTGTAAATTAGAGGGTGTTCTGTTTGTAAGGCATAAACGGTCTGAAGGTAAAGCCTGCATGATTTTGTATAGCTATTGTGCCCTGTTGCAGCAAAAAGATTGAGCACGCACTTTGTTGCAGAAAAATATATAATGACCAGTTACTTGTTCTCTCTGCTCTAATAAACTCTTAGAAAACAGTTACGTATTGTACATAATGTAACCATAAAGAAGATGTCTGTAAACCAGTTTAGCAATCTAACCGCCAGATCATTACTTTCTAAAACACAAGGGTTTTCTGAATCATACATTTCTAAAAAAAATTTCTGCTCACTATCATTCATATCATCCCAAAAATTCTTTAATATCAGTGAATTTATTGCTGATGCACATAAAAAATGTCCATGTATAGCGCAAAAAAATGCTTTTCCTGATTGCATGTGTCCTACTGTTAAAAGGGAATAGGTTGTTTCAAGAGCGTTCTCAAACCACTTCCTTCCATCATACATCCAATTGAACCTAGAAAACTCATAAGTTGATGGAAACCTCCAAGACAAACAAATATATCTAAGTTTTTTGTAGAGACTATTTCATATGCTTTTATGTAAAGCTGCTGATCAAATATTATGGATGGCATTGCAACATTCACTTTTTTGTAGTGATCAAGCAAATGATGAAGCAAAGTAGTGAATATAGTCAATCAATCACAGGTAGTATAACAATGTTAGATTTCTGTTTTACAATATTATTTGTTGCAGAACTCATGTAGCCAGACCAACTTGGACATGGATTTTTGAAAAGATAGACAATGTCCCATAGAAGATCAATAAAACGAGCTTGAATTTTTTCCTAAATTTAAATAAAACAGTTTTTAAACTTTGTAGAGGTGAACATTTATTTAAACTGTAGTATGCATGACAAACTTGAATGACTGGTTTGAATTGTTTTTGTTAATAAATGGTATGTCAGGTATGTAGTACTACCTAATAATTATCCCATTGTTTGACTTGATATTTGACCATAGTTCCTTTTTATCTCTTGGAAGTACCAAACAAATAGTCCATATATCTTTTGGAATTTTATTTCTTTTAAACGAAACATCTGTGAATTTTCCATTTGCAATTGCAATTGATCCAAGTCCATGATGCACATTTTTCCCTTTAACAGTAGCAATATCATGGTCTGTGTTGTCAGCAACAAATTGAAGAAAGGAGGCTCCCTCTCTGGAGATGATCTCGTCGATAGTATCATGTATAATATCATTACAACATTCTGTTTGTAACGAATAACCTCAAAAAAATGACAAAAACATTGGTATTGTTCGGATTCTGGGGATTCTGATAAAAATAAATAATATGCATCTTTATTATTACACAAGTAAATACTATACATATCAGCACTTCAATGAAATGAAACTTACCTCATCATAACTAACACTAAATTCCAATTTTGATAGCAGTATGTTCAGTCATTTTGATGAAAGACAGTTATCGATAGCAACACTCAAAACTAGTGATTTCGCCGGTTATCTGGTTTTGCGGTTAACCGGATTTTGTTAGAATATCAAATATCTATTTTCAAATAATAAAAACCGACTTAAAAATTTAACGAAATTTTATAGAAAGTAACATCGTAATTATGACGATTATTGTTTGACATAAGTTAACTTATCAAAGATTATAATATATTTCTTTTATTAATTTAAATGTTAATTTAATCAGTTTTGTTTGATTATATATTCTTAAAACAATTTACAATAGAAATCTCAAAGATTTATTTATTACTTTTACAACTCAAGCAATATATTTTTAAGGAAGTTTCTTCAGAATATTCTGGAACTCTAATTCGCTTATTCAGCGTATTTTTTGAACCAATAGAATTTGTTTATTCGTAGATTTGACGGTATTTTAGTGTTAGCAAATATTCTTTATATTATCTTTA